GTTCTGTATTCAGTCAATATAGCATGTAGGGTTCTGTATTCAGTCAATATAGCATGTAGGGTTCTGTATTCAGTCAGCATAGCATGTAGGGTTCTGTATTCAGTCAATATAGCATGTAGGGTTCTGTATTCAGTCAGCATAGCATGTAGGGTTCTGTATTCAGTCAATATAGCATGTAGGGTTCTGTATTCAGTCAATATAGCATGTAGGGTTCTGTATTCAGTCAATATAGCATGTAGGGTTCTGTATTCAGTCAGCATAGCATGTAGGGTTCTGTATTCAGTCAATATAGCATGTAGGGTTCTGTATTCAGTCAATATAGCATGTAGGGTTCTGTATTCAGTCAGCATAGCATGTAGGGTTCTGTATTCAGTCAATATAGCATGTAGGGTTCTGTATTCAGTCAGCATAGCATGTAGGGTTCTGTATTCAGTCAATATAGCATGTAGGGTTCTGTATTCAGTCAATATAGCATGTAGGGTTCTGTATTCAGTCAGCATAGCATGTAGGGTTCTGTATTCAGTCAATATAGCATGTAGGGTTCTGTATTCAGTCAGCATAGCATGTAGGGTTCTATGTTCAGTCAGTATAGCATGTATGGTTCTGTATTCATTCATTATATGGAAGGATATTCAACTAGTTTGTTCTTTCAAATGCTCTATGATAAATTTTGTAGACATATTCTTGGATCAAATAACTAGACCTCTTCAGTACACAAGTACCAATAATAATAATTTTCTGGATACCTTTGAAATTTAGAATCTGAGACTTTGGTCAGTAAATTAAAGTATAGTAACCAGAGGAAATAATGTGAGAGTTACTTCTTTTACAAGTCTATCAATGTAGTGCAAATTCACATTTAATTGAATATCAGTAGTAGGTTTTTGTATTCTTTGCATTAAAGGACACTGAGAAAAAGTTTAGCAAAAGTACCACATTAAACATTTTGGAACATTCTCATCCCTGGAGTACCAAAATATATTTCCAGCAAATATATAAGTTCATCACATAACTGTTGTTTTAGTTTCTTCATGTAGAGTACAGCACTGGTAGTATTTAAAAATCTTTTAGTGCCATCATCTAGAAATGGCCTAATTCAGAAATTTCACTTTTAAGTGGATCTATTCAGAAATTCATGCACAGAAGTAAGAGACATTTTATTTTCCATCTTTTTAAAGGATGGCCCCAGAAGTTATTGCCTGTGATGAAAATCCAGATGCCACTTATGACAATAGGGTAAGCCTCAATTGTCAGATCACAGTTTATTAATTATCTCCCTTGGATAAACTTCTCTTCTTTCTGAAATGGAGGATGCATTTATGAATATTCGAGACAAAAAGGAAAAATTTACAAAATGTATGAATTGGTAGCAAAAAATGATACATTACCTACCTAGAACTTCTATAAAGAACAAGTTTAGTATGACTTAATAATACATTGAGACAACTTTGACATATTCAAGTGCTTTATCAAACAGTTTCTTTCCTACAGTTTGGAACAATACATTGTTTTGTATTTATTATGCATCTCCTTTTTTAATACTTATCTGCATATTGTAGGATTTAAATTTTCCCAGCAAATTGGAGGAGGGTGGTTGGTGGCTAATTATTGTTGATTTCGTGGTTGTCACTGACAATGAGATAGAAGACCACAAATGGTTTGTGGAAACAATATAAGCCTTCCAGATTTACATGCCAAGGAAAGGATTAATTTTTCACAAAAACATATCTATTGTCAGTGAAAATAAAGAGTAAATAAAATTCATAGCATAAATCAACGTATAATATCTACAATAGTTTTATTTCTGCTCTTAAAGATTCACACAAACATCTAACATAATTTCAGTTTCATGATTAATAGAGCGTAGTTCCTAAGCTTAATATATTTCCTTAGTTTTCATCAATTTTAAATCAAATTAAATGTGTATGCAAATGGTAAATAGTGATGTATATTGGTAATGATTCATACAGTACCTTATTGTATCATTAAAAAATTATTACATATTGCTATTTGAACCATGTCAGACTGGGTGGAAACTTTGGTTGTAAAGGTTTTTGTTTTTTAAATAAAGGAACTTTGTATCAGTAGGATCACATGTATGGTAAATTGTAATATTTTTCTATTTTCAGAGTGACTTGTGGTCTCTTGGAATTACATGTATTGAAATGGCTGAAGGAAAGCCACGTAAGAAGTTTAATTCAGGATAATTTTCCTCTTAGAACCTAAAATTATTGAGATGGATTTATTTTGTCCCCTTGGCATTAACATGTGCTTTAAGAATTTATGGATGCAATTTAGCACAGTAATTGAAGTTAAACTGTTCAGATATGAAGTTAATACATATTACTTTGAATTTTATTTTTGTTTATCCTCCATATTTTAGTTATGTCCATTCCTGATATTACTTATGCCCATCCCTTAAATCCTCAAATCATATACAAACCACAAGATTATTTTCGAGACAAGCATATCTAACATTTATTTTTTTTTATATTTTGTTTTTAAAATTTTTTTTTTTTTTTTTGGTTTTTGTCCCTCTGGAAAGCCAGTACAACCCTCAGATGCATTCATTAATTAGGGATCCACAGACCTGCAATTTTGCTATAAGTCTTAAGAAAATTACCCTTAAAATACGGACTAATGGCATACAAGCATACAAGCAAAAGCTATGGAAAAATGATTGTTGTCGAAAAATCTGGATAATTGGTTCATCCGTGTTTGATATGGATCTGGGTATCATATTAAAATTTGCAAAATTAGTGAGGACACCAGACTAACTTTATAGCAGCACTTTAGACACTTTCACCTGCATCTATTTATTCATGCAAAGCGTCTGCATGATCAAACTGTTGATTATGGAATTTTTTTTTTAAATGGCATCCAAAAAGCGATGTATGTTTTCGACAAAAGGAAAATAAGCTTCTAAAAAATGTGTTAGCAATCAACACAAAAAAATAAAAAGGAATATTCAGATTCTTGTGAACAAAGCTGGAAATGACACAATGATATTTATTAGATATCATGCCAATTTGAGTAGGTCTCTTGGTGGGAGATGTGATTACCATCATCCTGTGAAATAGAAAAAGAATTGTGTCAAGTTAAGAGATAGCAACAAACCATTGAGTTGCATGGGATTTGTAACTTTTTGTGGCTGTACTAGTGGTAAATAAAGTTTATGTGTACTTTACAAACTTTTCAGTTGAACATAATGTTTATTGTCGCTGCATCAAACTTTTACTTACATTTTCCAGCTTTACAATAGCAGTTATTGATATTTTGTTACACCTTGCTGAAAACGGGTCAATCTTACGGAGAAAAATCAACTGCCTTTTTTGAGATGGATTCATCAGGGTTGGCAGGTCTGGGACCAATGTATTCTTTCAGTAACCGAAAATGTTGATACCAGTAGAAGTGAATCAATGAATCATGAGCATAAACATTTAATATTTTAGTAACGTTTAATATTTTAGCAACATTTAATATTTTAGCAACATTTAATATTTTAGTAACATTTAATATTTTAGCAATATTTAATATTTTAGCAACATTTAATATTTTAGTAACATTTAATATTTTAGCAACATTTGATATTTTAGCAACATTTAATATTTTAGTAACATTTAATATTTTAGCAACATTTAATATTTTAGTAACATTTAATATTTTAGCAACATTTGATATTTTAGCAACATTTAATATTTTAGTAACATTTAATATTTTAGCAACATTTAATATTTTAGTAACATTTAATATTTTAGCAACATTTGATATTTTAGCAACATTTAATATTTTAGCAACATTTGATATTTTTTCCAGCTCTCTGTGATATGCACCCTATGAGAGCCTTATTCTTGATACCCAGGAACACGCCACCCAAATTAAAATCATCTGCCAAATGGTAAGACAGCTATTTTTGTAGGTTTCATAATGATATGCCTTTTGTCTTGCTTTCATTGGGGGTGGGAGGCCTGGTGGCCAAGTAGTCCAAAGCTTTTATGGATCACTGCTATCTCACCAAAGTCTGTGTGGGTTCGAGTTTTATGCTCGACCAATGTTTCTATGTTAGAAAGCTTCCCAGTAGCTTCCCATGGGTTGGTGGTTCTTCCAAGGTTTTGCTGGTTCTTCCAAGGTTTTGCTGACTTTTTCATCCACCAGATATAGTGGATACTAATCAAAGCCTTTGATGTGTTGAAAGATGGTGTTGAGCCCACAATAACAACAATCACCTTGATTAGTATATATTTAGACATAAATATCACAACAGCTCTCTTGTTTACCATTTTAAGCTTGTATATTAAAACTGAACTGGTAATAACATATTTATATTTTATCTTGTACTTGATCTTTACATTTATTATGAAGGGTTTGTTCTAAATTTTTGTATAATCAATTTTTACATTTTTCAACTTTACTTTTAGGTGGCACCTTATATCCACAATTGTGCTTAGTTACTGTAAAACGCTACTACATACATTTTGTAAGTTATGTATAGTTGAGCTTCATTAAAGAATGGTTTTGCAGTTGAGAGATTATATATCTGCTTCCTATTAGCTTTTCAGCTCTTTGATGGAAAACCTGCATAATATAGATAAATGCAGGTTTAACACTAGTTTATCATCACATGCAGCTGGCAGATATAATAAAAAAATATATTATGGACACCCAATGATTAAGATTTAGGGGGTAAAAGGTTTCTTATTTACATTATTTCATCATAACATATCATTGACCTATTTCTTTAACAAAACATCCAGACACTAGATTAAATTTATTGCTAAAGGTTTTAATTTGAGGCGGAAAAAGCAGGCTTGACAGAAAGGGAACCACTTTTGTAATGTAATTGCCTTATTTGGCTTCAGATAATTTCCAGAATGAACCTTATATGAATCAAAAGACAGCACCAGAAAGGAATGTAGTGCCTATAAACTTCTATATTAAATCATTATTGTCTAACCTGGTTTAGCTTCTGTAATACATTCTGATAGTGATGGTACCATTCTGGTTGCCTAATGGTTAGAGCATCTACCTCGGGTGCAGGAGGTCGTGGGTTTGAACCCCAGCAGAGCCAAAAAAGACTATAAAATGGTACTAACAACTGCCTCGCTAGGCACTCGGCATTAAGAGGTTAGTGTTAGGACTGGTCAGTGTCAGGATATTGACTGAGTGGGATATGATACCCTCGTGCTTGACATAACTATAAACTGCACTCTGCAGACATCATAGCAGTATGACTGAAAAATTGTTAAAGCTACGTGACAATCCAAATCGCACTCATATTCTGATGGTGCTGGCATTACCATAATCATCAATATTGTTTAAGATTTTGGTTAAGGTATGGTCATTAGTCTTTATTATATATTGGGTTTCTTTCATAATTGGACCTACACCACTTCGGTGGACTGAGCAATTAGAGTGTCTGTCTCGGATGCTGGAGGTCATGGGTTTGAACCCCATCCAAGTCATACCAAAGACTTATAACTATGGTAATAACAGCTTCCTCGCTGAAAAATTGTTTAAAGCTGCAATAAAAATCCAAATCACAAAGACACACACAATAATTGGACTATAATTTGTAAACATTGGTCATTCATCTCCAAAAACCTCCATCATCCTTGTACCTCCCTGTTCAAGGTTGTAATTTGGAAATGTTAAGTTTTTCTGAATGGTTTCAAACCTATTTAGGGATTGCTGTCATTCACTAGCAGTAGAAATACTAAGTATTTCCCTTAAGATTCTTGCACCCCCACCCTTTCTCTGCCTTCAGGGCAAGGTTGAATTCATTTGAAAATGTTGATTAAATATTTGATTGAATGTTTTTCAATATGGATGTAAGTTCCTAACGTTAAAGGAGTTACTTTTATATGTGAAGTCATTATGCACTGTACCTTCACAGATCGGTTCCCTCTTCCCAACTTTTGACAAGGTCAGGGCCATTGAAAAACATTGGTTATATTTTTACCTAAAGCATTTCTGGATGGTCACTGGTTCCAAAGCATGGAGTGGACAGTTGTCATACATGGACTGTAGGTTAAGGAAGCCCCATCCTTTCATTTTCATGTACTCCTGTCTTCCTTCAGACTGTAGAATCCAAAAGCTGTGCCCATTGATATTCATGCAGTCAAATCTTCCCTGTGACCTTTATACAGTGACTATAATCATTTAAAAATCTTCAAAAAAAAAGATTGGGAACAAGTATTAATGTATTATCTTAGGTCCCAAACTATATGAGGGATACCTGTCTTGTGCTCTTTATATCTATCCTTAGACACTCATGCCAGTTGAGTTTCAAAAAGTTGACTGTATCTTTGAAAAATTCTTGATTTTGCTGAAAAACTGCTTGAATTTATTTGAGGGAAAAAAAGCTTTCAAACTGGTTAAAATATTTCACTTTTTAAGTGAGGAATTTTGTTATTTATCCACTAGGCACATGTAATAATTGGATAAATAACATCGGATATAATTTATTGGATCAATTTACATTTAGCACTGGTAATTACAGAATACAGAATACTCCTTGAAAACTTTTGGATGGCCTTGAAGCATCCTCGAAAAAAATCTATCCTTGGCTGTATGAAACATGTTGAATGCTAAAATGAGACAATAGACATTGTTAACATCTTTTTCACTTGAGAATGCTGGATTAGTGAGGTGGTGGACGAACTTCTAACATAATATATTTTAAGTGGTCTAGATAATGCATAATATATGTTTAGTTTCTAGCTAATTCAAAGCATGATTTGATAAAAAAAAAAATGGAACTCTCTTTTCTAACTTTCGATATTTGTTGTTGGGGTATGCTCCTAATTATAGATATTAAAATAGAAATTTTTGTTAAAGTTTTTTGCACCCAGAATTAAAAAAAAAATTTAATTGTTTTGAAGATGTGTAAAAGTTTGAAGGAATTAAAGTTACAAACATTGTTGTTTAATTTGTTTTGTAAAGTTTAGTACAAAGAAATATTTTATTTTTTTTAGGTCAACAAGATTTCATAATTTTGTGGAGTCCTGTTTAATAAAGGATTACACTCAGCGCCTAAACACAGAACAGCTGTTGAAACATTCATTCATCCGGGATCAGCCCACCGAGAGACAGGTGCGAATCCAGCTCAAGGACCATATTGATAGACATAAAAAGAACAAGAAACGTAAGTTGGTCTTGAGAATTTTCTGGACTGCTTTAGAAACTGGGATAACTGAATTTCAAGGAGGAACTCTTTAGTAACATGTATAAATTCCTACAGTAGAAAATGACAGAATGAAGAAAAAGTACTGAATGTTTTAAATCATAGTGCACTTAGATGGTGTGTAACAAATGATATGAAATCAAAATGCATTTGTTAGGTAAAAAGAATGAAGTTTACATGCATGTCAAATACAAATGAAGCTCATTTAAAATGTAAATGTCTGCATTGTTAAGGTTCTAAACAATGGGGGTGGACCTAAAATTGCAGGCTTCACTTATGCTTTTACTGACTTAAATTGATGTCTTTTTAAATTTAAATCTTTTTAACATAGTGATTAGTTTTTTAATATTTAATTTCCCTAAGAGAACCATGCATTGGTACATACAATTATTAAAACAATTGACAACTGAATAGTAAGAAAGTTGAAGTACATGTACACTCATCTGATTTGATTACACTTACAGCAGTGAATTCATAATAACATCATCAAGAAAGCACAGATTATATTCATCTCAACATAGATTCTCATGTGTCTGAATTTCATATAAAAAAATTTCTAAGGATAACTTAGGAAAAGTATATCATATTATCATATATAATCACTTAAAAGTACAATCACAAACAGCATAGACCCAGATCTGCCTTTGTAAAATGCGTCTGCAGATCTGTGTCTATGTTGTTTGCTCTGCAGATTACTTTTAACAAACTGCAGAGACCCAGATCTGCCATTGCATTAAGTGACAGAACATCTGTGTTTGTGCATTTTGAAACCATGTATATGCAGTACATTTCAGCAAGAGTGTACATGTTAAGGTCATTAAGCAGTACTGTTTAAATTTCAAACATCTTGCTACATTCCATTTGAATCCTAGTGCTTGGTTGGAGTTATCTTTTTTCACACCTCTCAGCTAACATGTTTAATACCATTATTGTAATCTTTAGTACTTAGGTTCTCAGGTGTTCATAAAGACTGCTCTCAAAGCATAAAGTTGTCAATAATTATGGATTAGGAAATTGAATAAAGCCAATGATGGTGGTTGTTAACCTCTTTTTTCAAAGTCTTTGCCATGTAGAAACAGTTCTGCCAAAAATCAAGTTTACCCCAAAAGGTAAAATCAAAATGTCACTGATAGTTGTTAAAGTTTGAAAATTTGAACTAAAATCTTGTACTGTTATGGACCTTTGTGACCCTAAGGACCATGAAGGTACCAATACAAATACATGCCAACCTTTGAGCTTTTGGCTTAATCATTAAGCTTTTTTACACTATATTACACCTTATGTGTAAACATATTTGGATTATGCATTTTCGGTGTATATCCTCCCAAGAATAATTTGTTTTCTCATTTTTATTAACATCCCAATGATCCCAAAGACCATATTCTAAAAAAGATTGCTTCTACCTAACTACGAGATAAAGAGTATGTTTGTCCATAGACTGGCATGCACTTTCCTAACAGTGGTATGTTCTATTTTTAACAGCTGCCATATTTCGAAACAACATCCTGGATTCTACTTTCAAACTGTGACCTATGTTTCTGTTTATAGCAGTTCAGCTGTATGGTTTAATGAGGAGAGAACAGACTGATTTTTTAATTCGTAATCTTTTCTCGCATAATCTTTGTTCTATTTCATATCTGGTACAGAACCAGTCTGTAGGTATTTGGTGCTAAAAGTGGTCAGATTTATTCTAGTGGATGCATATGTTGGGGAAAAAATGTTTTTCAAATAATTTCACAGATGGATTAGAAGAAGATGAAAAACGAATTCTGAGATGAATGCATGAATAACATAATACAGCATTCCATTCTAGGGCAGCTTCATGCCCATTGTAGGCTGTGTGGAAAGGATTTTAATATTGGTCTTGGTAGTAAAACAAAGAGACCTTGACTTGGCTGGTTTTACTAACTCCAATACCTGGGTAATTTCTTTTTTACAGCAGTGGATACAAATGTTATAAATGCAGAGGCTTTATTTACAGAGTTCTTAATAGAACACGTACTACCCTTAGTGGTAGAAGACTTCATTGGTGCTATGTTTAAATGGATGCTTCCTGATGCCAAATTGCAGAAAATATGCATTCATCTGCAAGAAGAAAATCATCTAATATTGTTAGGTATTTAGAATAAGATACTGAATCACTCAAATTATCAGAGGCCATGAAAATTGGGCCATTTGGTATTGTCACAGAGAGGAGTTATTGATTATGATGACAAAATGTTTTACTCAGTCAGTTTAAGAGACTGACAATAAAATGGGCAAAGTCAGATGTCATAATGCACCTTGCTGTAGGAAAAGCTGCCGATAAATTAGGAGAACTTCTAAAGTATAAAGTTGGCATTCTACCTGACAATGTACTTCCTTTGGACAGAGTTGATCTGCAATGGCACCTTACTTCCCAGCTAAACGACCCAGTAACTGGAAGATATAAATTTTCTCTGTCAGGTTGTGAAAGGTAAATTGGTTCTTTACCATTCTAAGGTAAATTGGTTCTAAATTCTAAAGGTAAATTGGTTCTTTACCATTCTAATGGTGACTGTGAGAGATTGTTTTGTATTGTTAACAAAAATAAAACTGAATTCATATCCAGGCTCAGAATCCCAGGACTTAGTGCTCTACTTTGTGCAAAAACATTCTAGTTTCAGCTGGTACAAAGTGTTTTAAAATGCATTATGAGTCTGTTGCTTTTTAAAGCTAAAACTGCTACATATGAAAACTTGGATCAGTTATTGATGTTAAAAGACTAAAGAGGTAAATAAACCATTTTGTACATATGCTTATTAAATGTTATCATGCGATATGTGGATTACTCTTTTTCTGCTCAGATTACTCTTTTTGTCCAATTGGATTACACTTTTTCCTTGCCAGGGGTTGGCATGTATGCA